AGATAATTGATCACTTACAATTGTTTTTTCTTTATTAGAGATTTCCATTCCCTTCTGCTTATACTGGTTCAACACCAAGCCCTATTGCATAGCTATTATCCTGGGATCGCCATTGTTATTCTAAGGATCCCTTCTCCTCTGTCTTGAGTTGGATCCCCTATTCCTGGATCCCATATTTTCCTTTTTTTTAGTTTTTTTTTTCCTCTCATTTTGGTGGCACAAATCCTCCAGAAGCTTCCTGATAAATAGCACATCGGAAGTAAAATTACTGAGTCTTTATGTGTCTGAAAAAGTCACCTTCACACTGGGTTGTTTTGTTGGGTTTAAATTCAAGATTGGAGATAATATACCTTCAGATGCATTGCCTCACTATCTTCTGGTTTCCAATCTTGTTTTTTGAGAGTTCCAAAGCCATTCTGATTCCTAGTCTTTTGTATGTGACGATTTCCCTCCCCTTTCTTACTCTCTGGTAGTTTATAGAATCTTCTCTCTTTCTACAGTTTTAAAAAATATCTTTGTGCCGTAAGTCTATTTTCATCCTCTGTGCTGGGGTGATTGAGATTTCCTTTTAATTTAGAGGGTTATGTACTTCAGTTCTGGTATTTTCTTTTCCTTTGGGTTACTTAATTGATAGTTTTCTTCTTTTTTTTTTTTTCTTGGGGCTCCTATTATTGAGATGTTGAGATTCCTGGATTGGTCTTCTAACTTTCTTGTCTATTTTCTAATTCCTCTTCTTTTTACTCTACTTTATAAGAAATTCTCAACTTTAACTTCCAAACAAACCATTTAGTGAGTTTTAACTTTCTGCAATCGCGTTTTTAATTTTAATGAGCTTTTTTTTTCCTGAATATTCCTTTGTTATATCATTCTGTTCTTGCTTCATGAATGTAAAGTTTTCTTATCTTTTTGAGGATATTAATGAGCATTTCTTTTTGAGGATTTCTTTTTGCTGAATAATCTTGGTTTTCTCAACGTTTCTTTTACTTTGGACATTCTTTTTGTGGTAGAAATTTTCTCAGATGTCTTCTGGGGTTATCTGTTCATATTTAAGAAGAAGTGATTAAGAAGCTGATTGAAAATTCTAAATGTGAGTGTGAGGGTTGTTAACCTTGAGCTTTTCTGTTGGATCATGTGGCTGCATAATTTGTTAAAGAACCTCTGATATTAAAATTGTTAGATCTTTCTTTTGAAGCTAGCTAAATTTTCCATAGAAGATTCATTCATTCTCCTGCCTAGAGGGTAAAGGTCTGGCTGCTTTCGTCCTTGGAGCTGAGGGGGAATGATTACTGAGTGTTCAGAGAGCAGGGGTTGGAACAAAGGATGCCACTTTTTGACATAGCTTTCATCTGATCCTCTTTATTTTACCACTTCCTCCATGTCCTCATCTTTGAGGTACCTGGTTGCATTTGCCAGGATAGGCTATCCCAATTCTCTATAACTTAAAATAACAAAGCTCTTTTGTATGTCCTCCACATCAACACCCAAGCTAAGGGAGTCTCAATCTCTATGCTTTCAGATTTGCTGAGACAGAAGAAAAGGGAGCATGGTGAAATATACTTAAATTAAATATCCTCTAAAAACCCACCACAAGTGACATCCACTATATCATATTGACCAAAGTAAGTCGCCTGGCCTCTCCTTACTTCAGAGGGGCAGAAAAGTATAATCTTACAATATGCCTGGGAGGAGAACCCAGAAATATTGGGTGAATGGCACTGATGATTCCTGATTTTGCTGCTGACAGTTCTTCCTGGGTCTTTTCAGCATTCTGCATTGTAGCTTGGTTTGTTCTCCAGCTTCCCCTGCTGACTTAGGGTTTGTCATTTTAAATGGGCTAAGCTGGGTTACCACTTGTCCATTTTGATGTTGCTATTGTCTTTTCTCCTGTTCTTGCTGTTACTTGGTGTTATGTCTTGAAAAATTATTTTAGTTTTAGTGGAGTTTCAGAAAGGAGTGAAATTGTATGCCTATTTTCAATCTGCCGTATTTATCTGAAAAACTATGGTTGTAACTTCCTGTAAACTGAATGAGCTAATTCTGCAATTTTGCAGGAAAATATATTTAGAGAAAGTGATAAGATAGATGTTTTAGTAAAAAATATTGTATTATCAAGTGTATATTGATGTGAACATTTTGACCTTTCCAATACTTTCTCTGTATATTGGATTTTAAAAGGTGTTTCTAAATGAAAGCATAGCACTTATAAGTAATAGTCATTTGTTGAGTCTTGGAAAAGCCATTTTGTTAAATTTCCCAGAGATTTATTACTTTCTTAGGGATTTATTACTCACAAATCCTTTTGCTCATCATAAAGTTTCAAATTTTCTTTTATCAAAATTAAAGTAGCCACTAATTTAGTTGTCGTATCAGTTATCTGCTGCTCTAAAAATGTTGCCTAACTAACAACCACAAACTTCAGTGGCAAAACTTCATTTTACTTACTATACTTGTGTTTTTGCTCATGAGTCTGTAGGTTGCCTGGGCAGTTCTGCTGACTCAAGCTTGGCTCAGCTCATGTAGGCAGGGCTTGCTCTTGCATCTTTGGTTGGCTTTTGGGAAGGCCAGACAGTGGTGTTTCTGGAGCGAAGCCAGCTGCCAGCTGGGGTGCCTTAGCTCTACTCCATGTGATCTCTTATTTACTAGTAAGCTTTCCTGAGGGTCTTAGTTTGGACTGCTATAATGGAACACCATAGATTGGGTGGCTTAAACAGCAAACATTTACTTCTCACAGTTCAGGAGGCTAGGAATCCTAGATCAAGGACCAGCAGATGTCTGGTGAGAGACATTTTCCTGGTTTGCAGAAGGCTGTCTTCTTGTTGCATCCTCACATGAGAGAGAGAGAGAGAGAGAGGGCTAACTCTCTTCCTCTTCTTATAAGAACACTAATCTCATCATAGGGGCTCCACCTTCCTGACTTCATTACTTTCCAAAGGCCCCACCTCCAAATACCGTCACATTAGGGCTTCAGCATATAAATTTTGGGGACACGCATACATTCAGTCCATAGCACTAGGCTTGTTCTTATGGTGGTGGCAGGGTTCCAGGAGGAAAAGCAAAAGATTTTAGATTCTAGGCTTGGAATTGACGTATGGTCAGTTTTGCTGTATTTTTCCGGCCAATGTAAGTTACCAAGGACAGCTTAAATTCAAAGGAGGGGGATAGATTCCCCTTTTTGATTGGAAGACTCATAGCATCGAATTACAAAAGATGTGGATACAGGGAGAAATAAGAATTAGGTCTGTTTTAGCAAACTCTATCTTCCAGAGATGTCAAGTGACAGGTCATTAAAAATAATTTTTAATGATAAAAATATAAATGGGGCATATAGCTCAAAAGGAGTTTAAAGAATTGAGTGACCTTGTAAGAACTAAACTCTTTTTGTTCTTGGCTATGGACACATTTCCTCAGTGCTTACATATACGTAAAAAATGTTTAACTAATGCCTAACCCCTGTCATTAAAAAATAGCCCATCCAGATTATTATCAAGAGATGATTTCCAATAAAATTTTACGTTTCATACTTAATGATTACTCATAATGTTGAAATATATATATTATTTAAATTGTAATACTATAATCATAATAAAATTCATTCCAGAAAAAAATGTTTAACACTTGGAGCATTATATATTGCACAGAAAAGTAAAATGATGAAAATTTTTAAAAAATATGAAGCATAAAAATATATTCCATTAAAGTAAAATTATGTGTGGAGATAGCAAAATTAGTATAATAGTTCAAGGAGAAAAAGGAACAGCATAGGATTACCAATAGAAGAGAAAACTTGTTTACATATTTTTAGGTGAAAATTGGTATATGGCAAATCACTATTCCATTGGATGAATATTGAAAAAGTGGTATAACCATTTTATTTTAAAATGGCATTACTTATTAAGTATATGCTTTCCAATTCTTATGCTTAGCATGAAAACTAAATGTCAACTAAAATGTAGGGAAGATTATAGTTAAGTAAATATGTATATAGACACATATGTGTGTATGTATGTATGTTAGAGATGCAAGGAAAAGAGGAAACTGTTTTAAGATGATTATTTTGGGCCTTACAGGACTCCATCATACCTGGCCTCTGCCCTCTATTCTTGCCTTCATGTGGTGACATCTAGAGCCCTCCATTCATATTTCAGTCTTAAAAAAAGTCATTTATTATCATTTTTTTCCTGAATGCACAAATGATTACTTTTCATTATAAAAAATAAATTATAAAAGCCATTAGAAATTTTATTTGACTCTGAGTCATTAAACTCTAGACACCTTTGTTCCCCGGTGAGTATCGCTGAGATCTCTTGACTTCTTGAGTCTGCAGTCTTGCAATCCACTGTGGTAGCCTGTAGACACACATGATTAATCCAAATTAAGATGTGCTGTAAGTGTGAAATAAATTGAATTTTGAAGACTTAGTACAAAAAAATGAATGTAAGTATAGAATAGCTCATTAATATTTTGGAGGTGTTTTGGATATATCAAGTTTGACAAAATATATTATAGAAATTAATTTTACCTGCTTCTTTTTACTTTTTTAATGTGGCAACCAGGAAATCTAAAATTACATATGTGACTCGCATTATATTACTATTGGACAGTGCAGATCTAGTCCCCAAATCGGGAGACCTGGGAGTCTTAGAGGGTTGTCTTTGCAGTTACAGTTTTCTCCTTAGAATCTTCTCTGTCCCCAGGGGGGTAAGGAGCACATGACTTCTTTTTTGGATGAGATTCTCCCCCATGAACCTTGTAGGCTTCAACAGGATCAAGCTATCAGATCAAATTTTTATGATAGTCAAAAGATGGTAAAGGAATGAGGGAAAGTCATTTCTTCACACCACTGGTGCCTATTGGATGTCATTATTAGAGAGAGGCTATTGAAGACAACCACAGAGGGAGGGTCCTGGAAAAGACTGGGTATCTTGAGGAGAAGGTGTGTTCTCTGGGGGCCTTTAACCTAAGTGACTCATTTGCGTTTTCTTTCTTTTTGATTGTTCCAGAACGCTGCGATGACTGGGGACTAGATACCATGAGGCAGATCCAAGTGTTTGAAGATGAGCCAGCTCGCATCAAGTGCCCACTCTTTGAACACTTCTTGAAGTATAACTACAGCACAGCCCATTCAGCTGGCCTTACTCTGATCTGGTATTGGACGAGGCAGGACCGGGACCTTGAGGAGCCAATTAACTTCCGCCTCCCTGAGAACCGCATTAGTAAGGAGAAAGATGTGCTCTGGTTCCGGCCTACCCTCCTCAATGACACGGGCAACTATACCTGCATGTTGAGGTAGCCTGACTCTTGGTGGGGACTTTCTCTTTGCCTACTAGTTCCTGGGCCTTTATGCAGATGATGCATGTGCTGTGAAGCTGGGGAGGGGAAGGAAGGATCTCGAAAGAGTTACATTTCGCCTCAGTGGCTTAGCTGAGGCTGGCTGAAAGAGATGAGCAGAGAAAATGGTTGTGCTCCTGAGAACATTCTTCATAGGTGGTTCCTTTTCAGACCCTGACATATATCAAGGTTGTCTGAAGGTGGACCCTTGTTTATTTGTTCTTTTTCCCTGACATTGGAACCTGCTTGTATACACTTCTGCTTCACCTGGAGGCATCTATTTCCCTAGACAATGAGCAGAGCGGGGAGTAGTACCCATTCATATCTGTTAGCCTCTTTCAAAGTACCTGGCGCAGAACAAAGCCTCGGGATGCCTTATAGAAGAAAGAATAATTGGCAGGCGTCACATGTATGTAGAACAATGCTTTTCAAACTTTTCCACCAGAATTTCCCTAAGAAGCAAATGAACACCAGATCCCTGGGAATATAAGAATGTAATCTAAAGCACTCTGCCATTACTGCAAAATTTCTTTCAAATCCACTTTTTTTTTTCTTGAAAATTCATGTAGATTTTGCATTTTACTCCATGATACACCTATTTTCTTTTACTACAAATTCATGTTGTTTTTGCTGTGGAAAAAAATCTTTAAAAAACTGGGGCCACTCCAAAAAATAACCATGTTAAGGCTTAGTTCTTTGGCTACCTTTTTCCCCAAGGTCTGTTTTTAGTTTCTGGGCTTTACTTTGTTTTTTAAACTCCCATCTGGGTTATGGATTTTTTTTTTACATAGTTTCCTACTATTTAATAGGTGCATTGGTTTGCTAAGGCTACCCAAGAAAATACCACAGCCTGGTGGCTTAAACAACAGAAATTTGTGTTCTCACTGTTCTGGAGGCTAAAATTCTAGGATCACAGTATCAGCAGGGTTGGTTTCATGAATCTCTGCTTGGCCTGTAGATGGCCATCTTCTCTCCATGTCTTTACATGGTCTTCCCTCTGTGTCTTCTCTGTCTTAACCTCTTCTTAAAGAACATCAGTCATGTTTGATTAGTGCCCACCCATATGACCTCATTTTACTTTAATTACCTCTTTCAAGGCCTATCTCCAAATACAGTCACATTCTAAGGTACTGGGGGTTAGGACTTCAACATATGAATATGGGAGGGGCATGATTCAGCCCATATCAATAGGGCAGAAAAACATAACAATACAATAACATAGAGTAAAATAATATAACAATAGGTAATCCCAGACCTTATTCTGGATGCCCCTTGTCTCTCGTGGATGTTAACTCTTCTCTGATGGAGCACTATGACTATATTTTGATAAATTTAAGCTGTGTTAATGATTAAATGAAAAAGAATCTCTTTGGCACAGAAAAGCATTTTGATCACTGTGGCCTTGGGAGTTCCTTGTAACCTCTGAAGCCCCTTCTGAGACTTTCACCTGACTCTTTAATTTTATTGGAATGGACTCTAGACTGGTGTGTGGGCTTCCAAGGAGGCTGAAATACTCATATGTCCATTATTATTGTCCTAATGCAGATTTGCAGGAAAGGTTAGAACAGCTTATAGTGGAAAGAGCACTGGACTAAAAGACAGAAAACCTAGGCCATGATCGCAGCGCTGCTACTGCTTAGCTGGTGATCTTAGGCAAGTCATGTCCACATCTGAAAGCTTTGCTATCTACATCTGCACAATGAGAAATTTAGCCTAAATGCTCTTTGAGTTCCTTTTCACTTTTGACAATTGTTAATCCATTAACGTTTCACACATGGACATCAGCAAATACCCGGGAAGGGGTCATCAGTAGCTTTATGGATGAGCTTGGTCTCTACTATGCATTCTAGTGCTTCAGTATTTCTATTTCTTTTTCCTTAGCAACCCCCTACTGGTCTAGAGCTCTTCCCCAAACTTCCTAACCTCTTACATTACAGAAGCAAGGCTGTATGTTCGTTAGGGCCTGAGTATAACTTTAATGTTATTTACCAATATCCAGATTGGCATCTCTTCAATTTACCTGTCTTCCTATCTTCTAAGTCTCTAAAGAAAATCTAGAATTGAACTTACCTGGTGGGGGCAACAGAGGCTTCCCATTGTCCTGAGGTGATTCCTAAACTGAGAATGACCTTAAACTGAACTGTGTGAAATCATAGGCCTGATGTCTTTAAGGCCGTAAGGTTAAGATTCATCCTCTGGGATTTTATTGCTTGTATTCTTGCTTCAATACCCCTATTAAGATAACATCCAGATTTGACTTTTGGAGCTGAAAAAGTCAGTCCAACCATTGTTCATCACTTTTATTTTTTTAAATCAGAAAGTATATCTTATTAAGTGGAAATTTACCTTCTATAACTTCCACCTATGGAATACTTCTTCTACCTGGTAGACCTTTTGTTATTTGTAGGGAGAGATCATGCCTGCCACTCTGTCTTCCCATTGTATTACCATTGTCATAAGTCGTCTTTAAAGCCTCTCCTCCCATCTTGGGAGGGGAATGCCTGCCCCCACATCTTCCATTGTATTTAGTCTTAATTCATGAGTCATTGCGTATCTATCTAATATGTGTTTGGTACCTTAAATAGAAATCACAAAAGAGGATGGACAGTGAATGACCCACTTACCTATCACCCAAAAAAATCAGTTATTCTTATTATTTATGTTCCCTTTCTTGTTTTCCTGTGTGTAGACACAAGTTTTACATCATTCCATTCATTTAACAAGTATTTGTTTAGCGCCTACTGAAAGTTTAGACACTACACCAGATGCAAGGAATAAAAGAAAGCACACGTGGTCATGCCCTTGTTTACAAAATTGTGATAAATTCGGTTAAGGAGATGTCCAAGGTGCTGAGAGAATGAGAGGCCCAATTTCGATGTGGGGTGTGTACAGGATGATGTAGAAGACCTTGTGTGAAAGGTAGGGTGATGGGAGAAGTGCCCCAAGCAGATGAAACAACCTGTGCAAACATTAAAAACATAAATACCATTCCCCTGCCATCCTAGCAAGTTTTATGTGTTTGTTAGTTTTTTTCCTTCATGCTTGAATTTTTTTTATAGATGAGTATAACAACTTTGAATGATTGTACCATAATTTTCTTTACAGTCTTCCTTTTCATGGATTTTTCTATTAATTCCAATATTTCTCTTGCTGATTTGGCACTAGATGGGCATTTTTGATCATGTGCTCTCTCTATTCCCACTTTTCCATACTTCTATCATGTGAAAAAATTTCCAGAAATAGGATTACTAGGGCAAAAGCTAAAGCTTTTTTTTTTTTCGGTTTGGGAAACATATTTTTTTATTTTTCAAAGGTTGTTTATACCATTATCAGCTATGAGTTAATATGCTATCTTCACCTTTGCCTTACCAGCACTGAGTATTATTGAGACTGTTTTAAGGGTAAAATTAAATATATTTACACATATACAGACACACAAACACATACACATGTTTAGGAACATATCTAAACGTGTAACTATTTTAGTATATCAGTAGTAGCTAATTGTGTCTATTTTTATTCTGTGATTTCAATTGGTATAGGAAATACCTCCATAACACACTTAATTTTTACATGAACTTACACATATAAATAAAACCTCAGTATATAGCATTACTTCACTTAGCTTATTTTGATGTGTTTTCTGCCTTAAACAAATGCAAATGAGATTGCCCATGCACTGCATATTTCTCTTTTCAGGAACACCACATATTGCAGCAAAGTTGCATTTCCTCTGGAAGTTGTTCAGAAAGATAGATGCTTCAGTTCTTCCATGAAAATCCCAGTGCATAGACTGTATTTAGAATATGGTGTTCAGAAGATCACTTGTCCAAATGTAGATGGATTTTTTCCTTCCAGTGCCAAACCAACCGTCACTTGGTATATGGTAAGCAAACTAGAGGGCATTTTACCCTCTCTAAACTGGCAATGATTATTTGTTGAGTTAATATAGAAACTGAGATTCTTCTCATCAGATTTTAATTTCTTTCTTAATAACTTTATACAATTTTTTACCACTTTATTACTTCGTACCATTTTAAAGGAAGTGGTGGAGAATGCTTTGCCTCAACCCACCATTTCTTAAATTACATTCACTGGCCTACTAGAACTACCTTATTTCTATTAACTTCCCATGAAGTTCAACTTGAGAAACATTGCCCACTTATAGTCACTGCTGAGTGAAGTCTGAAGCTGCTAATTCATCTGGTGAATTTTATCTCCTTGATTAGTCAGTCCTGTATTTTATTACTTGTATGTGTTTTCATGTTTTCCCTCATTTGTGGGCATAGTCCATCTGCAGTCTCTTCCACATCTGAGAGATTTGAAAAGTGTTTAATCAAAAATGAAAGTGTTGGAAGGTGGCATTTGTGGCAGCAGCATAGTTTCTTGACCTCTTCAAATATCCACATAAGCCAAAGGCACAAACTCCTGGACAACATTTAAAACACAGCTCAGTGACAAGTTACCCACAAGAATCACTTTCAATAAAGCAAGTGAGATGACACAAACACAACCCATATAGAATCAGTGTCTACAGGGAAGGGAGCAGGTGGAGGTAATGTGGTATCTGGCAGATGGAGAACAAGAGAACCCCCAAAAGACCAGTGGGCACTCACTGGAAAGTATGGTGGGCCAATTTGAGAATAGCAGCTGAATTTGGGAAGGGTTTTGCTCTCTAATAAAGGGTGAGTCCAAGAGGCCTATCATGAGAAATTCTGAAGGGGTCGGAATAGTCCTCGTGCCTCGGAACTCTGAAAAACAACCACCCACACTGAGGAGAAGCTGCTGGAGTGGAATCAAAAGAAACAGGATCAGGACAATATAGAGGAAGGAAAGGGAAGGACTGACTGAAAATGGAGAAGCAGAACAGAGATAAGAAATCTCAAGACCATAGTTTTGAAGGGGGATCTCTGTGGTTAGAAAATTCTGCCAAAATCTAAAGCTCAGAAAAAATTAGTGTCACATGAAAATGAGCAACAAAAAGGATCAAGGTAAAATCCCATTCAAAGTTATAAGAAAAAGGAGAATAAGAAGCAAAATAATATTTCTACTGGAAAAAAAAGCATACTAGAAGGACATATTGTAACCTACTATTTCAAAAATGAGCTAAAAGACGTTAAGAAATGATACAAGAGGACAAAAGAACAACATAAATAAATGAGAATTAGGAAAGTCCAGAAATTATATAACTCAGTAAAAACTTAGAAAGAAGGTAATAAATCGTTTCAGCAATGAAGCTAAACTAAGAGGAACATAAGAGCAAATAGACACAATGGATAATGCTTTAAGATGAATAGGAAATGGAAGGGAGAGACAAATTTTTAAATGGAAAATAAATGATGAATAAAAATAAGAAGGTTAGAACAGATATACCAATATCATATGAAGTAAACTTTAAGACAGTGGATATTATCAGAGATAAAGAAGGATTTTCAGAATAACAAAAGGATCAGTTCATCAGGAAGACATAAAAATAATAACAGTATATATGCTTAATAACAGTGTTTCAAAATACATGAAGGAAAAGTTGACAGAATTAAAGGAAGAAATAGACAATTCTGTAATCATAGCTGAAAATTTTAGCATCTGTGTCTGTTTGTCATTAATGAAATGAGTTAGGAGCCAACTTTAAGAGTTTTCCACTGGTCAATGATGGAACACTTTGAACTTTGGTAAGGATATTAATTGCAATTGGTTAAATTCCATGAATTAAGTTTAAATCCATAAGTTTATAACGATATTTCAAAATATTTAATGGGTCACATTTGGATGATGATAGGAAGTCAATTTGTTATTTTGAAAATAGGTAAATAAAGAGAAAATATTAAGTATTTATTCTGCCTTTCCTACGAGTACTGTATATTGAGTAATGAAATAGTGCAGGGAAGTGTGTTTTTATAAAAGTATATAATCACTTTGCAACTCCCAGTGAATTAAAACCTAAGCATTAGGCATCAATGGCTGCTAACATCACAAGAAGAGAAACAGCCAGACATAATCCTTCTGAAGAAAGGACACAATATTACCTATAATTGTGCCAAATGGGTTAAATCTGAGTCTGATAAAACCTTTGGATCCTGCTGCCATTTTGCAGGAAACAGAGAAAAGAGGAATGTATTGCTCCGTACCCTGAGTTTGCAATCAGCAAAATCCAGACGTGAGAAACTCTCTAGGCCAAATGTCTTGGGTTATTCAACAGACAAATTGTAAAAAAAAAAACAAAAGCATGGAGTAGGAATGCCTAGATTAAAAGAAACATATAAAACACTAAGTGGATGAGACTGTAGTGTCTAAGGATGCACATGTGGGTGATAAAATTGTAAATGAAAACAAGGAAGTGATTTTACTCTGAAAGTGGCCACTACACTTACACAGTGGCTACTTTGAGGGGTAGTAAAGGAGCTGTGATTGGCATGGGGCATGTGGAAAGCCTTCAGAGGTGACTGACAACATCTTTGGCTAGATCTGAGTGGTGATTAAAAAGGTGTTTGCTTTATAATAATTCATTAACTCATACATATGTTTTGAGTGTTTTTTGTATATGTTTTATTTTGTAATAAAATGATTAAGAGGAAGGGAGATAGGGAAGGAGGGAGAGAGAGAGAGACTTAAAATACATAGCAACCCATTGCAATCTGTAGACCTTAGTTGGATCATGTTTTATTCAAACTATAAAACAAATTATGAGAAAATCAGGGAAATCTGAACACAGAATATTGATGATATCGATTAATTATTATTACTTTTTAAATTATGATAATGGTACTGTAGTTATGCTTGCAGAAGGCATCTTGTTTAGAGATGCACACAGAAATACTTACAAATGAAATTATATAACGTCTGTGATTTACTTTGGAATAATCTTGGGATGCAGTGAGTGAGTATAGACGAAAGAAGACATAGCCTAAATTGGTACTTTTAAGGCTAGGTATGGGTACAGGAGATCATTGTATATTCTCCCTATGATTGTAATTTTCCATAGCAAAAAGCATAAAATGGATTAAAAGAATTATATTAACAATTTTACATCAAAAAGTATAATATTTCTTCCAGTTAAAAAAGTGTGTTGAACTATTTGTCTGCAATCAAGGTCTCTCATTTCTAACCCTATTCGCTTTTTCTATGTTTTGAATACTCTGTGATCTGAAAAATATTGATTTTATTTTCATACATATTCTATCATTTTCTCTTCCTTTTTCGTCGTGCATTCCCTCTGCCTGGAATGCTCTCTCTTCTTCCTTTAGAACAGAGCAAATTCTACCACCTTCGTGAAATGTTCCCTGTTCTCTACAGCTGGAAATGATTTTTCCCTTATATATTCCATAGCTGTTTATTTATGCCTGTTTCAATGTCACTTTTCACTTCCTTTATTGTTCCATAGTCAATCATTCATGTATACACTCAACATATACTTGTCGAAGATCAACTGTATTCAATGCAATATGTCAGGGGTTTGGGGGAACACAGTAATAAATGAGATATATGTCCTGCCCTACATAGTCCCCAAAGATCTCACAATTTAATTAAGACAAGTTTATAAATAAGAATTCCTGTTATCAAAATATAGAATTCTAAGTTCTACAAGAGTGCCAAAGAGAATTTATTGTTGGTTTTAAGAAGAGGGAGTGATTTACATGCATGTACTCTATGAGATTGACTATTTCTTGAGGGCAATGTTTTGCCATATCCATCTCTGTTATCTCCAATGATTCCCAGATTTCTGGTTTTCCTGATTGGATGAATGTCAGTGCTATTAACCAAAGTATGAAATAGCAGAGGAGGAACAGGTTTGGGGAGCAAGTAATGGATTTAGATAATGTCATATTGAGTTAGATGTGTCTGTGAGACATCTAGGTGGCAGTGACCAGTAGGTAGTGGCCACATGTGTATGGGTCTGAAGCTTAGAAGAAAAATCAAAGCTGGAAACAGAGAATTGGATGCATCTTTGTGATAGTTGAAGCCCTTAAGAAGACAAAATAAAGTGAGAAGAGAAAAGGGCTAAGGTCAAAATCTGGAGAGAATATTTGTGGGGTGAATAGAAGTAGAAAGTCTGGAAAAAAGACCAAGAAAAAAAGTCATATTGGTAAAACCATTGCCATGGCAGATACCCAATAATGTGCAGGTGACTAAAAAGGACAACCAGTAACCAGCCATGCTTTCTGTTCTCTGATTATGAAAAGGTTGCTATTGATGTGCGATATACTGCTTTTTATTTCTCTACCTTTGGGTAATTGACTGACACCTTTAATCCTAAGAGTTCTGCCATCTTGGGAACAAAATCAGGGTTCTATTTTTTTTTAAGAAATGATTGATTTATTATTATTAACCTTGTGCATAAGTCTTTGTAAGGGTATCTAGGTTAAATTTTTGCATGATTATTGTCATGAATGAGAATTAGAGGAATTCTTCTTGTAATTAAATGGGCTAAATGCAAATTGCATAGTTTGAAGTCACCCAAGGGTAGATTAATTTTTTTTTCTTTTTTATTGAAGAATAATTGACATACAAAATCAAATTAATTTTAGGTGTACATTGTAATGATTCAATATTTATATACATTATGAAATGATCACCACAATAAGTCTAGTCACCAAAGTTATTACAATATTATTGACTATATTCCATATGTTGTGCTCTACATGCCATGACTTATTTATTTTATAACTCAAAGTTTATACCTCTTAATCTCATTCACATATTTTGCCTGCTCTCCAATCCCTCCCTGCTCTGATATCCACTAGTTTGTTTCCTGCATTTATGAATCTGTTTCTGTTTAGTTTTGTTTGGTCATTTGTTTTGTTTTTTAGATTCCATGTATAAGGAAAATCATATGGTATTTGTCTTTCTCAGTCTGACTTACTTCACTTAGCATAATACCCTCTAGGT